GCATGTCGCAGTGCGTAGACCGCTGCATCTTCCCTAACATAATAATATAATAATTACCTTTATGTCTGCTAGTATACAAGTAACACTCACTGACTGACCTTACTCAACCTTACCCAACTCTCCAAGACCAACCTGAGCATCTATCACCACGACTGACCTGAGTATCTGTCACCACGACTGACCTGAGTATCTGTCACCACGACTGACCTGAGTATCTGTCACCACGACTGACCTGAGTATCTGTCACCACGACTGACCTGAGCATCTGTCACCATGACTGACCTGAGCATCTGTTACCACGACTGACCTGAGCATCTGTCACCATATAACGAGCTTGTTTGGTATTCTGGTAGCGGGGAGTTAATGATACGTCTTCGGAGGCTTCTTCGTTTATTGTTAAGTCGTGGTGGGTACACAGGCTTGTGTGTTTGTGCCCATGGCCCGGGCAGGGCCATGCCACGAGAGAAAGCTGGGAGGCCTTGTGTCTTGCTGCTAGGCCGCTGTGTGAGTGAGAGTGAGGCAAGTCTGGGCAGGCTGGCGTGCCCACCGGGAGGCCTGGCTACAGAGGCCAGCACCTGAGTGGCGCGAAATATGAACTAAGCTGGCAGACAGCATGGGCTGTCTGTGCAGACAGTACAGGCTGTCTACATACGCTCGGCCACCTACAGCGCGTCGTCCCGACGCGACAATACTGGTAGTAAAAGAAACTCGGTCTCTCTCGTATGAACAGGGCACAGAACACAAAATAAAAACATATATATACATATGGACATGGAAAAAAAACTTCCTACAGGGAGGGAAGAAAAAACATGTGGGGTGTGCTAAACATCGTGGTCATAGGCAGTGAGCATCGAAGTGCATCACTGCACGCCTTCCTGCGTCTGGACAGATACTGCAACACAGGAGACATCACTGCAGCTGAGCTGTGACGTAACAGGTTACGGTCTCCTCTGGAACGGTGAAGCAGTCATCGTAGGAGTCGCTGCAGGTTTCACTCAACCTGGGGCACAACATGCTGGTGCCCTCGAGTGAGGCGTCGACAAAACTCGGCAACTGGGCAGGACTTCTAGCAAGCGACTAAGGAGGACACTTCTCGACTGGTACTGTCGCTGGGCTGTCACTGCCGGCGAGCGTGGAGCGAGTTGTGGAGCGAGTCGTGGCAGAGACGACTGGGCGAAACATCTGGGAGTCGTAACATCATACACCAGACTGCAGTGAGAGAGCTAGCAGTCAAAGTGACATCTTCTTTGCACAGGCTGCTCACTGAAGCTTGTGACACGAGGCTGACACAGCGCCTGCAGAACAGGCCTAACTGCGGCTTGGCGAGTCTCATCTCTCGACAGTTGGAGTTATAGCAGAGGGTAGTCTAAGCGTCCCCAGACTTGTTTCTCTACATATAACTGCACTCTGACGGTCTGGAGGTGAAGTGAAACAAATCTCGATGGGAATCGTAGCAGGTACGATTCTGCAGAACATCACGAGCGACGAGCATAAAATCTTTCTGTACAAGAGGGCTCGGTCACTCAGAGCTGTCTTGACATCGGCTGTCAAACGTACTGGTCACACGGGTGACTTAGCACAGTGGTGCTACTCAGGTCTGGCTCAGACCTCACTGGACACACGGAAACTTTACACACCCGCGGTACACTAACATGTGAGAACACTGATTGAGAGGAATTAATTAACACACGACATATATTTTCTGTCAATCTTCTCGACAATATTAAAATGATTACTAGAAACACTCGATGTGACATCATGTGATGTCAGGCGTGATGACGCGAGGTGACGTCAGCAGCACTGTGACGTCAGCAGACATCTCGAGATGACGTCAGGCAAACATCGTAACGTCATGAAGTCGGGCAGCATCGTGGGTGACGTCAATGTGATGCGGGCAGCAGACCACAGCATGTGGCCTTGGGACATCTGGTAACTCACGTAGCTCGTACGTCTATGTGACATTGCCCACACCCACGTGGCGTCGTGATCCACGTGGTGTCGTGATCTACGTGGCATGCTGATCCACGTAGCTTCGAGTGGCCTCGTGCACTCGGATACACAGCTCTGGCAATGAATCACACGAAAAACAGCAGAAAACACAGCAGAGGGAGTGGGCGGTGGTCAGTGTATGGTAGTGTGGTGGCGAGGAGCGTGGGTGAGTGTATGGCAGGGGAGCATCTGGCGGTCTCTCCTCCTCCCACCCACAAACACAGGGAAACACACTGGACGCAGAAATCACCACAAGACTCACCTCTGGCTTGCTGAAACAGCTGTGCTGAGCTGAACAACAACAGCAGCAACATACATGTGACGCTGAACACGTGACTTGGGAAACAGCGTGGGACTCTGTAGCGTGGAGTCACAATTCTCGAAGAATTTCGGCAAATTTCGGCTAGATCCTGCTTGTACCTGTGTCTGGATGCTCAAACGTGCAGACATGACATCAGGATAACTCGTTGAGAGACGGATGCTTCTTGCATGGGATGATGAAGTGAAGATGACTTCATCCCTCTTCCTTCCTCGCTTTGGGCAAACACACTGATGCGACCACAGCTGCTACCATTTATAAAAAGGAATTGTTTGGTAGGCGCAGCAAGCGGGTGGTTAAAGGATATATCTTCGGAGGCTTCTTTCTTTATTGTTAAGTCGTGGTGGGTACACAGGCTTGTGTTTGTGCCCATGGCCCGGGCAGGGCCATGCCACGAGAGAGAGCTGGGAGGCCTTGTGTCTTGCTGCTAGGCCGCTGTGTGAGTGAGAGTGAGGCAAGTCTGGGCAGGCTGGCGTGCCCACCAGGAGGCCTGGCTACAGAGGCCAGCACCTGAGTGGCGCGAAATATGAACTAAGCTGGCAGACAGCATGGGCTGTCTGTGCAGACAGTACAGGCTGTCTACAACCACGACTGACCTGAGCATCTGTCACCACGACTGACCTGAGTATCTGTCACCACGACTGACCTGAGCATGTCACCACGACTGACTTGAGCATGTCACCACGACTGACTTGAGCATGTCACCACGACTGACCTGAGTATCTGTCACCACGACTGACCTGAGCATGCCACCACGACTGACCTGAGCATCTGTCATCACGACTGGCCTGAGCATCTGTCACCACGACTGACCTGAGTATCTGTCACCACGACTGACCTGAGCATCTGTCACCACGACTGACCTGAGCATGTCACCACGACTGACCTGAGCATGTCAGCACGACTGACCTGAGCATGTCAGCACGACTGACCTGAGCATGTCACCACGACTGACCTGAGCATCTATCACCACGACTGACCTGAGCATCTATCACCACGACTGACCTGAGCATCAATCACCAAGGCCAACCTGAGCATCTGTCACCACGACTGACCTGAGCATGTCACCACGACCAACCTGAGCATCTATCACCACGACCACCCTGAGCATCTATCACCACGACCAACCTGAGCATCTATCACCACGACCACCCTGAGCATCTGTCACCACGACCAACCTGAGGATCTATCACCACGACCAACCTGAGCATCTATCACCACGACCAACCTGAGCATCTATCACCACGACCAACCTGAGCATCTATCACTACGACCGACCTGAGCATCTATCACCACGACCGACCTGAGTGTTATGGGGCTACAGGACCCAACATGTATCTATGTATCTGTAACAATTACTCTGGAATACCTAATTATATTTAATTGATGGGAACACAGCACTAAATATCATAAGGGCAGATCACCCTTATGGCTGTAAGGCAGCTTAGTCAAGCCTGTTTTTCTTAATATAATAGGTTATACTATAGACACACACATGCAATTTAAATAAGTAGTTTATAAAGTTGTATTTCTTTTTGTAAAAATAAAATAAGGTGTAGTAGAGTTGTGGTAACTAGAGAATTGTGCTTGGCAACAGTCTTTTGTTGTTTTCGTGGGTGTGGGAGGAGCTTAGCTAGGCCCCTCCCTCTCTCTCACACACTCGTTGTTGACTTCAAGCTGGTAGGACCTCTGGGTCCTTCTTTTTATTTTTTTGGGCATTATGTGTGCCCCAGGGGTAAGTTTTATACCTTAAGTTGAAGCCACCATACCCAGGGTGACTAAAGTGTGTCAAAACACTTGTTAGTCCAGAGATTAGTCAAGAAGAAAGAAGGGCAAATTGTTGAGATGCACCATGTGGGCTGTTCCTAGGAGAGCAGCTAGGGAATGTGTTGACTTATTTTTTGTATATTGTATATTCTGTATATATCTACCTGAATATAAGTATCTATCTTTTGGTAATAGTAGTTTAAATAACCTGTGAAGAGGGCTGGCGAAAGGATTTCAAAGACACTGAGGATGATCAATCATGAATGTAAGTATTACCCTAGACTGATAAGGCCTTTATGTAAAAAGTTACCCCACACTAGAACATGTAGTGAGAACCTTACTATCAAAGTATAAGGGGCAACAACATAACACTGAGCGTCTATCAGCACGACCGATCTGAGCATCTATCAAGCAGTTATCTCCACGAATGGCCTGACCAACTCGCATTTGGTTACTGCGCTAAACGAGCAGTGTGTCTCCTTATCTCATAAGCCCAGCCCCTTCTACCTGAATGCACAGGAAAGGAGCTAGAGAGTTCGTCATATATTGTAAATGCAGTTAAATGCCAATATTGAAGATCTGAAGGCAATCAAATCATTCACAAATCACGGAAAGAGTTGGTTTTGAACCCATGGCGAGTGGGTCGTAAAATTCACGACTCGCTCGCCATGATTTCTTTGCAATCTTGTCATTACGATTTCGTGAGTCAAGATCATTCTCAAGTGATCTTGGAGTGTTTACAAATCTAAACACTCCATGGTTTTAATTATTCTTAATTACTGAAGCACATTCGAGATTCACGAAAACTTCCTCTGATTTTTTTTTTATCTCAAATAACAAATGTAACATACGTCAGTAATTGGTAATTATATTGAAAAAAATCAATTGATTTAGAGTAGCAGTTGACGACTGTAGGTATTCTCACCTGACTGATGGCCGGCATCAACCTCAGCAGCACTGGCAGCTCCGTTGTTGGTAGTAGTGGCAGCAGCACCGTCGCCGGAATTTCTCTGACTCTTGAGTAGGCCTATATTATGCTGGTTCTGACCTTTGGGTAGGCCTAAGTCGCGTTGGGCAGCCAGGCCTTTCAGGTCCAATAGCTGACGCACCTCCTCGTCCACTCCAAC